CAACACCAACGCTTCTTCTATCTGTTTTATTTCGTCATTTAGGTCTTTTTTGTGTTACTTAGTGCTATGGCTCAGATAGATAGATAATCTGAACTTCAAGAAACGGCCACAAACAGATGAAAGATTAACGTTCAGCGAGAAACCACCAATCAGAAGACTGTGTTTGTTTGCTTGAAATAATCTATAATAAAGTACATAAAAATCTATAAATACCTGTTGATTTCCTTAATAAACAATCTGTTGCCTGGCCCTTGTCTTCTGTTTTTACAAACTTATATCAGTCCATAGCCTTACCTTAAACAAATAGAATCCCTGCAAACTAATTCTTGCTAAGTCATTTTTTGTTTAAAAATCACCTATTTTTTTGTGATTGGTTGGCTCAAGGTCACTCGGGGGTTCACCACCTATGGGATATGAGATTTCAGTCTTGCCATAATTCAATCTATTGTGAAATTACCTGTCAACCTGTCACTGTACACAAATCTTTACACTGTCATCATTAATGTTCATGACGAAGTCTACAAAAATCTATAATATAAATGTTAATCTCCAACACATTAATGGCTACTACATGGATATTCTGAAGATGTACTGTCCACAAGCTGAAGATAATACTAATCGGGAACGATGGTTTAGAGTAGAGGTATACCACGAATTGAAAAAACCTACAATTTACAGCTTAGTGAATTCCAGTGCAAGTGACTCAGTGTCAAACGAATTTAGTCTGGTAATCTCAAGGTTCCGGGCCTGATCCCTGAAGAGTCACGAAATAGGACGAAACAGAGATGTCCAGTACTTCTTGATCTTCATTGATCTCTCGAAATGATGCTGGTTTGTGAACGGAATCTATATTGAAAACAACATGAATGTGACATAAATGATTATGTGTATCTTAGGCTAGTGTAAATGTGTTTTGGTTACTTCATCAGGTTTAGTAATTTCATTACACAGTTTAATAATTCCCACTGTAGCATTAAGAACACAATGTTCAGCAAAGAGACCGTCTTCAACAACCAATTTATTATCAAGCTGTACAATTGTATAAATATGGTTCTTTAAGAATTTATATCCAATGAGGGGATTGAATCAGAGGTATGAATACATGAAATAATAATAATAGTAGTAGTAGTATGAAATGTAATTAAAATCAAAGTGTTTGGGATTATAATCATAGGCAAGCTTGGGTCCCAGTGGATGAATGGTGTACGAGCTAACTTGCCTTGTAACCGAAAGGTCCTGGGTTCGAACCCTGACGGTGGGTACGTACTGCCGATGATTCCCAAACTAGGATGAAACAGCTGTCCAGTATTCCAGTGATAGTTTTCAACGTTTCTCTAACTGATATCAATCCGTGGTCAACTCTTAAAAACAAAACTATTCCTTACAAACCAACTATAGAAAATTATAATCATAGTTAAATGTCAAGTAGCAAAACAATTAACGTCATATATAGAATAATTCATAGGACGCATAGATGTTGGAAAGGGATATGCAATCATAGGGTTAGTAGGCTAATATAAAATGTTACATAAGATGGTGTGAAATTTGATAAGATAGAATTCAATATCGTAAAAAGAAATGATAATTTTGGATTTAGAGTGACAAGTGGAAACAATTCAAAATGAGAATAGTAATAGTAATAATAATGAGGGAAAGGTATATAGATTAACTAAATTAACAAAATAAATAATTAAATAAGTAAGTGTCTATCCCTCTACGGTCAAGGCGGAAGTAGGGATTGTACATTCTTCTTTTGTACACAAAGGTGTCCGGCTCAAATTTAAGAATGGCCGAGGCCTCCTCTGTCTTTAGAAATCTATAAAGAAGAAACCGCAGCCGGAAAGTCAGCATGGAATCCATAGATGATCATCTGGAAATCATTGTCAGGGTTAGTGGAGTGACCGAGAGGTCCATCAAATGTTCTAGAATAGAGCTTCGTACACACTTCCTTTCTCCTTTATCAAACCATGTTGCTGGAATATGTTCTCGTATCTGTGTGGAAAGCGGCGTTCTCTGGCTACAGCCAATGTGCCACTGCTCCACAAGAAGAGCAGGTGAACTGAGAGATGCATATGGGTATGTGAAGCTTTGTTCTAGAACACTTGATCGACTCCTGTATCACTCTACCAACTCTAAACATGACTTTAAGATCCTTTAAGATAGAATTCATGCAAATCTGCTGCGTTTTCTTCTTTATAAACTCTTATAGACAGTGGGGGCCTTGGCAATTCATGAATTTAAGTGAGCCAGACCTTTATGTACAAAAGAAGTATGTACAATCCCTACTTCTGCCTTGGCCGTAGAGGCATAGACATTTATTTTGCTTATTTAGTTATTCTCTGTACCTTTCCCTTATTACTACGGTTATTATTATTATTGTTATTATTACCATTCATAATCCAAAAAATGTTTTTACAATGTTATGTAACGTATTCGCCTACTAATCCTATAATTATATACCCCTTTTCCAAAATCTATGCATCCTATGAATTATTCTGCATGTGACATTAATTGTTTTGCCACTTGACATTTAACTGTGATTATAATCATAAACATTTTAATTGTAATTGCATTGCTCCAATGACCTTGAACGCATGCTAGTCGTTGGCTAACGGCACCTGTCATTATCATAGCTGAAATATCAATGATATTCACCAACTAGGGAGCAAATTTCACCCAGATCACGTTTATTAAGTACTCTTTGGACAATGTATTAATAGCTCGCTAGGGTTAGGATCAGGGTAACAGTTAGGATTAGGGTTAGACTTACGGTTAGAATAAAGGTTGTAATTAGGGTTAGGATTAACGTTAGGGTTACCATTATGGATAGATTTAGAGTTGATGTCATTTATTTTACAGGATTTCATTATGAGGTGAAATTAGTTAGAGAAACATTGGAAAACCTGCAAGGAGTACTGAACAGCAGTTTCGTCCTAGTTTGGGACTCTTCATCAGTACGCACCCACCAGGATTCGAACCCAGGACCTTTTGGTTACAAGGCGAGCTCGTATACCATTGAGCCACTGGGACCCGATCCTAAACTAGGACGAAATAGTTGTACAGTAGTCCCAGGTTTTCCAATGGTTCTCTGACTAATGTCACCTCATGATGAAATCCTGTAACCAATCAAATCCCTATAAAACCCACACTTGAATATTATTTATTTTAATTTGTTTTATTATTCACATCTTCCTGGTAAGTAGTCGTCTATCCTCTTACTGGAAAACATAGTAATTCAACCGAGGGCTTTGGGGAGGACTGCACAACAGGATAAGAGAGATAAACGATTCACAAAAACAGCTCATCTTCAATCACCTCGGTGAACACATGTACAGAAACTAGTCTAACTTAGCAACTGATACTCCTCATTATAACATGGACACATTTTTAAGTCATGTGTCGGAGAAAGATACCCTGTTTAATGTGTTTCCATGCATTTTCTTGTGAATATACACGTCATTTTTCATGCAAAAATTCCTCATTTCTATGATTGGTCGGCTGAAGGTCACTTGTGCGTTGCCATCTATTGGGACGCCTATTGTTGAACTTTGCCCATTTTAATTTTAATTGCATTGCATGCTGTTATTATTATTATTATTTCATGTATTCACACCTTTGATCCAATTCCTTCACCGGATTTAATTTCTTAAGAATAAACCATATACTTATCATTATACAGGTTCATAATAAATTCGTTGTTTCAGAGAGTCTCTTCTCTGAATATTGTATTCTTAATTTGATTGCATGGAGGATTTCATCATGAGCTGACATCAGTTAGAGAACCATTGGAAAACCAGCTGGGAGTACTGGACAGCTTTTTCGTCCTGGTTTTGGACTCTTCATCAGTACACACCCGCCGGGATTTGAACCCAGGAACTTCTGGTTACAAGGCGAGCTCGTGGTTCTCTAACTGATATCAGCTCATGATGAAGTCCTCCATACAATCAAACAAAAATCCCTACAAAACCAATACTTGAAAATTAATCTGATGCTCACTAGTGATTGGCCCTATTCAGGCAGTTAACCTGGGGTTCTAGTGAGAAACCGTAACCAGTAGGGTACAGCAGGTTGAAGATGAGGCAGTAACTCATCGGAGAAGACATTACGAAATGGAAGCTCTATATCGTGTGTGAATTGGCAGAAGTTAGAATTCAAGGACCATTGGATCGGGTCCCAGTGGCTGAATGGTCTACGAGCTCGCCTTGTAACCAGAAGGTCCTGGGTTCTCACCTCGGTGGTGGGTGCGTACTGATGAAGAGTCCCAAACCAGGCCGACGAAACTGCTGTCCAGTAATCCCAACTGGTTTTCCCCTCCATGCAATCAAGCGAAAAATCCCTACAAAACCAATACTTGAAAATTATTCTTAATTTCCCTAAATGACCACTGTTCACATGAGAGAGATATTTCTTTCCAAGAGAAAAAGCGGAGGTAATTACACTGGAGACAATTAAATTGCCGTTCTCATCGTTTCACAAAAGAGAGAAGAAAAAAATCAATTCCCTATTTTAATGTCTGTTTTTATCATCAGCCAACCTCTCCCCCCCACGCATCCTCACAACATATGACCGGCTACACGTCCATCCTTTAACTAGACAGCTGTAGGCGGTACATATATATATGTATGTATGTATGTATGTATATATTTTATCCAATTGTAACTCGTCCAATATTATAACAATATCATATCACAAGATACTGTTGATTTAAATTATGATTTGTTCTTAGTGTTTTTTTTGCAGGCATATGATTCGTCCGTTGATCAGATTATATTATTTTGGCCTTTTCACATGAAGGTTATCGCTTTATTCTTGATCTAATTGGTGAAAAATGTTTTTAGACATAACACATGCAAATTTTCCAGACAAAACAACGTAATGTCTAAGTGTTAAAATTTCATATATATATATAAATATATATAAGATACTGTAAATTTTCTTTGTTCTTCGCCATATGCTCTAAAATTGATCATTGGACTTTTCGCATCATTCTAAAACACAGGATGTTAATATTTGTTCGTGGTTTATCGGGCAATGTATGCCCTATTCATGTGAATCCATACGAAAATGTTCTATCCGTAAAGCTTAGGATATTTTATTTGAAAAGTAAGTACTTTTATTGTTTGTTTGTTTTCTCAAAGTGTTTTGGCGGCCTGCTTAAACCTTGGGCTACCAAAGAAAAACCTCCATCTCTTTATTGCATATATATTTTCTCTCGCGTTTGGTTTGTTTTAATCCATTGAGGGCGAAGTTAAAGTCAAGGTCCTCTAAAAGTTGCCCTTCGAGGACGAATCAGACATACTCCAAATCAAATCATCCCTTGCCTTTTTGGACTTGGAGAGGATAGATACAGTATTCTGCACTTATTTACTAGGTACTTCCTCTGCAAATCAATATTGTTAGGTAGTTTTGTAATTAATAGTGTTCTCTGGACTGGTTGGTTGGTTTAGTAGCGAAGCTTTCGTCGTCCCCTTTCTGAAATGATTTAAATTTTCCATGAGTGATAGAATTGCGTCTCCCAGTAACCATCTTTACATATGTATTGATCGTTTTTTATTGACTTGGATTTTAAACTTTCTCGTCACATGATTTATTTTCTATTACGTGGTTGTTATATTTGGTCTATATTAACATGTTTGTTAATCGCTGACTGATATACTTGAGTACCAGGTTTCTAGGAATTCCCTGACTGTACTTTTGGTGTTTCCTTTGTCTAAAATTTCGACATTATCCCAATCATCTAATTGGTGTCCATAATTACCTATATACATTGATATCAAAGAATATATATCATGTCTTTTCACAGCTGATTTGTGTTCCCGGATTCTGATTCTGACGCCCACTTTGGCCGATGTAATGTCTGTAACAGTTCATACATGCAATTTATTTGTAAATAGTAATAATTTTGTCTCCTTTTTCTGTTGGATCTTTCAGTTTGCACAATATCGAATTAAGTGATTTTACGGGCTTGTGTGCTATATCTATTTCAAACGGTTTCAATATTCTAGCGTCCCCATCGAATCAGAATCCAGGAATACAAATCACCTGTGAAAAGACGAGAAATATATTCTTTCATATCAGTGCATGTAGATAATTATGGACATCAATTTGATTGGGATAATTTAGGAATTTTAGACAGAGGAAACAACAAAAGTACAGTCAGGGAATTCCTAGAAGCCTATTACTCAAAAGAATATGCGATTAACAAACATGTTAATATAGACCAAATATACCAACTAATAAAAAGTAAATCACATGTAACAAGAAAGTTTAAAATCCAAGTCAATAGAAAATGATCAATACATATGTAAAGATGGTTACCAAAAGACGCAATTCTATCACTCATGGAAAATTTAAATCAGTTTATTGAAGGGGGATGTTATCCAGAAGGGGAACTATGAAAGCTCCGCAAATAAACCAACCAGCAATTCAGAGAACCGTATTAATTGCAAATCATCCACCTGAGCTACAAATCTTCTCTACTATTAGGTAGTGTTATGGTGTTTATGATTGAGGTATAGGATCTAAGGTTAAGGTTAGGCTTAGGGTTAAAATTAGGTTTATGGTTACAGTTAGGAGTAGGTTGAGAAATAGTGTCGGAAATATCAATGGATCTCAAAGTACTATAACCTACAGTTACTTGGATGAAAGGGGATATCGATCATGGTACGATTTCTGTCTAGATCGTTAGTGTATTGAGTGGGAGACATTCTTACAACTCATAAGCTACAACTATTCAGTGTAATATCATGTTTACAATATTTTCTAGTGTATTTTTCAACGATTATGCGACTTGGCAAAGTTTAACTTTATGCACCACTAACTACCAATCAGCGAATGACCTTGAAAGCACCAATCACATGAGGGCGTCATTTTTGGGTATAGAATACCTATATATTTATGAAGAAAAATGCATAAAAACTGCATAAAAGTATTACAGAAGATACATTTCTCTCACACTTGATAAAAACATCTTCTATTTCAGCACAAGAGTATCAGTGGAAATGTTACACCATATCCTATAGATATATATTCATGTAAATGACTATAAATGACATCGCTTTGCGACCCATTAATGGCTCTAATCCTGTTTTTTTAACCTTTCCCCAAAGCCCCCGGAAGAATTGGTGTGTGTCCCTGTAATGGGATCCACAAAATCACTAGAATGGTTGACTCTGTGGTGAATATATATCCAAGGAATGACAAGGAGTTATAACCTTTCCACTCATCTGTGTGTATTATAGATCCTTGTTTCACACCAGTCGAGTACTAATAGGTATTAAAGTACTTGACTTTCTATCTGCTATCCTCTCGACGAATCCTTTCTGTAGAGAGATGTCATATAAACCAATCACACAAACATTATTCACTGGTTCTCGACCACGGTTTTATTTTTTCTTTAATAAGACAGTTTCATCTACATGTACGACGGCACCTTCTCCTCCCAATAAGCAAGTGAGCCTCTCCATTTTCCTGGATGTTATATCCCTGCAGTGCTCGTAATACTGAACTGTTCATACGAGACTATTTTCAGTTTCAGTAGCTGCACGTCTCACAGGTTGTTTTAAAATCCCTGTAATTACAAATATACAAAGTCTAGGTTAAGGACAGATGGAACCTAGCAAAAAATGTTCCTAAAACTGTTAGAATCATCAGCAAAAGCGGAATAGATGGTTCAACTCACGTGAATGAAATTCATTGGACCGTTCAAGGTCAGTTGCGCGGCGCAATCCATTGGTACTTAGTCGTGCCGAAATTTCAACTTGGCGTTTATATATTTTAAGAGTATTGAAAAAAATGTGACAACGGTAAACGATAGCTACAAAATTGAACGGCTTGCCAAATGACCTTGAACAACCAATCAAAATAGTTGCATGCTTATGAGGATTAATTGATTAGAAAAATATGCTTGAGACGAATAAAAATCAATTTATAAAGGACAATTTGTTTTAAAATGCTGTAAGATCTAGGTTTTAGTAAGGGGGCATAGCAAACGTAAATAAGAGACATCAAAGTCAGTTGACCTTGAAGCAACCAATCAGATCCCACATCATTACAAATGGATACTGTCCATAATCTTTGTTGCACGTTTCAACAAGATTTGCTTTTTGACTTCTGTGTGGAAAATGGGTTGATAATAGTGAGGACTAAAACATGCATATATGGAGGGATAATGACTCCAGGCTGTTGATGGTTATCAGACTCAGATGCAACCACTGTTACATGAGGAAGTCTGTAAGAGTCGTACATTATGGTGACATTTTAGATGCTTTCTTCTCGAAATTGAAACCCCTTCTGAGTAACATATTGCTTATATTCCACAATCAGCTACTGAAGCGCGCCCACTATCTGTTACAAGTGCAGAAACAGAGAATATTAAAATGTCGGCACAGTGGACCGGTACCGGCACTGTCGGTATATTACGTCACAAAAGGTCAATGAAAGTACTTCTGTACTTGGAGGGATTAGTGTCGTCGTTCATACTTACGAAATAGTGCTTATTAAATGAAAAATAAATCGCCGCTGTAGGAGAAGAGCTAATCATGTTTGGGTTCTGGGACTGTACGGCATAAATCTTCGAAAAAAGCTTGTAGAACGCACCCCCAACGGAAGTGACGTTGTTTTAATACCAACAATACAACGACTAGTTCTCCCAGGCACTACGATTCAAACACATGAGTGGAAAGATTATTCGCATTTATCATCACTAGTCTATGTTCATCATAAAGTAAGTCATTCTTCTAAAATTGGTGTAACCTATACAAATCCTACTGAAGGATTCTAGGCCCATATGAAAAAACGTATTAGAATGGTGATTGCTTCCCGAAATGATATGGTATATAGTCACTTAGATGAATTTTGGTATCAACATTGGTTTGATATGTCAATAACCACTCCTATGAGAAACTGGGATCAATTTTTGCAGCATATTAGAGATTTATACCCTGCATAATTCATTTTTATAACATGTGTAACTCATGAATACACGTTTTAATGAATTAAATGCCATATTTCACGTGGAGGAATCTGATTGGTTGTTTCAAGGTCACCTGAATTTGATGTCAACTGTTTACTGTTGTTCGAACGACCCAGACAAACAGATGTAATGACCTTGATCGACCAATCAGATGAGCCCATACTAAAATGATAGGTATATATATACGCTACATGAATTATGACGTGAATTTCATCAAGGTGTAGTATTTGATTGTTGTAGGTAAAATAGGCTTTTAGGAAGCTTTAAAACAGTTAGTCCTTTTTATAAATTTTGATAGCGTTATTAGAAGAAGGAAATTATCTGAAAAGAATGTGATGTATTGGCGCTAAACATTTCGAGCAACAATCTGATCCCTCACACATTTACTTGTCCAGTCGGTATATATGGAAAAGTTAAATTAAACAGAGTGACAAAAAAAGAAATAAGAATAATTAACACAAACGTTTGGTAATCCAATCAAATAAGGATTACCAAGGTGCCAAGGTTAAGAGTACTTTGAAAGATACATTTGAACTTGTTGACTGTCTTGTAGACATGAACATAAAAGATAGGAAAATGTATTCATTTGATGTTAATTCTTTGTTTACTAATGTACCATTGGTTAAGACTGTTGATATTCTTTGTGATTATATATCTTCTAGTTGTTTTTCATTTCCTTTTCCTTTAACTTATTTGAAAGATTTATTACTATTATGTACTGACAACGTCCATTTCACGTTTGAAGGTGAACATTTTCGACAAGTGGATGGCGTTGCTATGAGGAGTCCATTAGGACCTTTGTTAGCGGACGTTTACATGTCTTATGTTGAAAACTTGTCCTTTGATTTAATTTCTAAATTGCCTTTCTATAAGAGATATGTAGATGATATCATTTTGATATGCGACGATCATGAAGATGCGAGTCGTCTATTAGACAGACTTAACTCTGTACAGAATCATATTAGTCTTACATGCGAGGAAGAAAGTCGCAACCAGCTCGCATTTTTAGACATACTTCTGAGTCGAAGAGACGATGGCTCAATAAGACGGTCTATCTACAGAAAGCCCACTTGGACAGGGCAATACCTTAATTTTCACAGCTTCTGTCCATTACAGTATAAGAGAGGCT